AAAAGAGAAAAAGAAGACAAATGTTATGTGCGTAGATTCAGATCTATCTATATATTTATTAGCCACAGCAACGCGTGGCCGGGGCACCCCTAGTATATATATATATATGGAGAGAGGGGGTGTAACACTTAACAGAATATAAAAAGAATTAAAGAGAAAGAAACCTTTTGTTTTACTTCGATTAGATTTTATAAATAGACAAATAGAACTTGCGTTAGAAACGAACAATTTGTATCTTATACGTAACTTACTGCAAGTACCGTGAATTTTCTATATCATTTTTCCTAAGGATTAGTATGGAATGGAAATAATAAAAAAATAAAGAAAATAGAAACAGAAAGAAAAAAGACAATCTATATCCTTGTTGCATTTTTCGTTGATTTCAATCCGTACACCGACATGAGCAAGGATAATAATTTTTGATTCCGTGCAAAAGCCGATTATAACGGCAAAATCGGATTACCCTAGAAAGATTTGTATTTCGTAATAATAAATTCGCACTATTTAGTTTTTCGTCTTAAAAGATACGTTTGATTTAATCGTACAATATGTATTACTCGAATCTACGTCTAGTAGAACTACCATCTTCATTGGTATCGTCCGAAAAAAAACATGTTAACTCAAATTAACCAATAGAGGAAAAATAAACGAAAAAAATAGAGTTAATCGCGTGAAACGTTAATCGATATCCCAACTAACAATACTTTTAAACCAACTACGAACGAACGAACCATTGCCGTTCTTTCATCGTCTAATGTTACGTGAGATGCGTGACAAGGTATTAAAACTAGCTTGCAACTAACTCCGCACGCTTCGTTACTTTAACACGACGTTTCAACAGGGATTGATTTCATTATATGACCACAACTATAGCTAGAAGAATACTCTGACGATTTCTACAACGATTTCTACAACGATTTTCTATCTTGAAAACCATTACTACCCTTTTCGCGAATGAGAAGCGCTTTAAGTGCTCACAACGTCCGTATCAATTGTTAAATCGCGAACGAGTGTCTACTCCCCGGTGGCTTACCGAGAATAGGATTGCATATCCGGTGAAGAAGTGGTCAATACGAACGAATACTGCTAAGTTTTTTCTTTCTATCATAAGATCGTAATGATACAATATAAACTACCAGTTAAAATCAACATTCCGAAATATAACAGAGATAAAGTAATTTAAATATTTCACCAAATATAATCCAGTAAACGTGACGACATTCTAACCACGGTATCAAAAGTAAGCGATAAAAATAAAAAAAAATAAAAAAAAGAACCAGATTTCGTTTGTGCTATTTCGTTGGATTACTTTAATCGAAGTAAGATTTTCACGTTATCGCACGCAAAACAACAACGGGTTTTTGCGAACTTTCCTTTCTACTTATCGCACTACCATGCGATCTTTATGGCGACTAAAACGTTCGTTTACTTGTTAGATCGTTATACTCTTATACCAAGAGACCTAGCTAGAATTAAGCTATAGAGTTATATATGTACTTGGACGATTATAGATTCGTTCTCTCAGAATATCGCGAAGTCGTTTGCTTGGTCCCCTGCTCCCCACCTCCTCTTCATCTTTCTCCTCTTTCTCCTCCTAACCCCCATAACCAAGTGGATGCTAGAAGGAAAGTCGCTTCGAAATACGGTGCAGTAGTCGTACCGAGTTTATAGTCGGACAAACACAGGGTGAGGAGGAGGTACGGTGCACCTATATCGGAGCAGGTCAGGCACGTAGTTTGACCGAAGTTAAGTCCATTAGACAATGCAAAATGTAAGACTTAAGTCTTAAGCCTATCGAGCGAGAGTCTAGCGCTGTTTGGTTACTACCACTGAGATGTAAAGCTCGAGCGCGGAGTTGCCTGTAATTGGCCGATTGGCTTAAGTCTTAACTTACAGGCTTATTCATTGTTCGCGGAACGTTCTCTCTCTCTCTCTCTCTTTCTATGTATATACATTACATACATACAAAATTTTCTATATATAAGAGTTCAAGACTTCGTGGATATATAGTTACTCATTAAGTTAAGTAACAAGTTCTTAGTCTATGTGAATCGCAAAAAAAAAAAGAAAAAAATAGCCTTTGATTAAGTTTATAAAATAGTATTGAATTTGTTTGTTTTCATTCCACTTCCAAAGGAGGGATTTATCTCTCATGCTCGTATAGAACAAATGTGATGATAGGTTATTGATGAAATAATAAAGAAACTCCTCGATGTGCTTCAATAATCGTATATAATTACAAGCTCTCTTATCACTTTTTATTGCTATTGATAATAATAGGGTAGTTTGTTACATGTTTCATCGATCTTTTAAAATTCATCTTGTTATTATTGTTCTTAATGCAAATAAGAGAAATTCCGATCGAATCGCGTGCTAATCAATGTGATTGTTCATGTCATGTTTGGACAATGTAATATTTATCGAACATAATTGAATACACAATCAGAAAATCTATACGATGTAATAATACCTTAAACTTGAAAAATCAAGATATTAAATATTCGTGATTCTTTTTTTGAGCACAATGTTTTAACGTATAAAAATAAGATCACGCGACAAATTTTCATTCTTGTCAAATTTATTTCCTTTTTCTCCTTTGCGGCAAATGTCATTTCCGTTACAATCTAATATTACTGACGGACGTGCATACGTTACAAGACGGTAGCATGTAGTTTTGTATATGTATCTACATAAGTCCTTGGAATCCCACCAACAAATTGCACTTTCTAACGCTACGTTAAGCAAAATGTGCAAAACGCGATATCGGTTTTGGTGGGTAAACGCGCGTGATCCTCGACGATCAGTCAAGTAATTTTTTTCTCGAGCGTCATTGAAGAATCCTTTGAAAATGTTCTAACTTATTTTTTCTTTCTTTTATTTTTTCATTCATTCATTCAAGAAGCACGCCAACACATATAGAAAAATACCATTCAATATTTTTCAAGGATGATCGTTAAATTCATTAAGGTGTTCACCTTTATTCTCGAATTATTTTCTTCTTAGTTGGATTGAACATTTTGATCTATTTCCTTTGTTTATTTTTCTTCTCTCTTTCTTTTTTTTTTCTTTTCG